AAATTAATTGGCCAACTAAAAATATATAGAAAAAATTAGCCAGGCCTGGTGGTACATGCCTGTAGTCCCAGCTACTCAGGAGGCTGAGACAGGAGGATCACTTGAGCCAGGAGTTGGAGGTTGCCGTGAACTAAGCTGACGCCACAGCACTCTAGCCCGGAGTGAAACTCTCTCTCAATAAAAAAAAAAAAAAAAAAAAGAAGCTGTGTTGTAAAAGAGTTCTGAGAGGAACTAGGCATCTTTTTTCCTTCTAAATTTTTTTCCTGAAATCCCTTTTCCAACAGCAAATTGAAGAAGTCCGACAGGTAGGATCATATAAAAAGGGAACAATGACAACAGGACACAATGTGGCTGACCTGGTAGTAATACTAAAGATTCTGCCAACATGTGAGTATACCTCTTTCTGGCCATGGGAACAGAACATACCAGTTGGGTTTAGGGCCTTGGGATCTTTAAAGCCTAAACTTCTTTTAAGAAAGGATGTTTTGGCCGGGCGCGGTGGCTCAAGCCTGTAATCCTAGCACTCTGGGAGGCCGAGGCGAGTGGATTGCTCGAGTTCAGGAGTTCGAAACCAGCCTGAGCAAGAGCAAGACCTTGTCTCTACTATAAATAGAAAGAAATTAATTGGCCAACCAATATATATAGAAAAAATTAGCTGGGCATAGTGGCGCATGCCTGTAGTCCCAGCTACTTGGAAGGCTGAGGCAGAAGGATTATTGCTGTGAGCTAGGCTGATGCCATGGCACTCACTCTAGCCTGGGCAACAAAGTGAGACTCTGTCTCAAAAAAAAAAAAAAGTAAGGATGTTTGGAAGATAAATGGGGAATGTATTTTTTTAATGTGTGTTGGGGTGAAGGGACAAACTCTGGAGTGTCTGAAACAGTATATGGTAGGTTACTGTAGGGCAATGTTTCAACTGGAGGTGATTTTGCCCCCTCCTCCCCCCGGGGGGACATCTTATAGTATCTGGGCACATTTTTGGTTATTATTAACTAAAAGGGTACACTGGCCTCAAATGAGGGTAGAGGCTAGGGATGTGGCTAAGCTATAGTGCGCAGGACAGACCCTCCCCCTACCACTCCTAACAAAGAATTATCCAGCCCAAAATGTCATTGCCACTGACCTGAAAAACCCTGCTACAGAGAAAGAATGTGGATATAGGTGGTGTCCTCTTCTTGAGCCTTCCAATTTTTCTCTCCAGGCCTTAGCTTCCCCTTGTAAAAGTGTTTATTCTGTTATTTACCCTTGCTCCAGCCTTGAATATGGGGCACAGTAGCTTAGGGATGTATAGAAAGTCTGCATAAATAGATTATTATAACATTCATTATCTCCTTTTCTCTGATTCTAGTGGAAGCTGTTGCTGCCCTGGGGAACAAAGTCGTGGAAAGCCTAAGAGCGCAGGATCCTTCTGAAGGTTTGTGTTTGTTGCTAAATGTGTATTTTGTGGTGATAGGAACCAGGTTCTATAATTATAAGTACATTTGCAGAAAAAGTCAGGTCAGTGGAAGAGTGAATGCAGAGCTTTATGTTGTGGAAATTTTTTTGGCAGGGGTCTCAGGTGTGCAAACCCATATGAGCTCCCTTAGTTCTAGAGCTTTGTATTCTAAATTCTCATTGTGGACTCTTATTGCTGCCTTTTTTTTTTTTCCCCCAAAAAAACACTTATTAAAGACAGAGTACAGAAAATATAGTATACTCTTGAAAGATGGTAGAGAGCGGACTAATCCAAGAAGGAACAGTCTCTTGTTGCTGTTTGTAAAAATCAACCTGTTCCCCCCTCCACCCCATGCTGGATTTAACTTTAGTTGTCTAACATAAGTGTGAGTTATAGCTTTCGATTATTCTGTTATTTCAGTTTTGACCATGCTGACCAATGAAACTGGCTTTGAAATCAGTTCTTCTGATGCTACGGTGAAGATTCTCATTACAACAGTGCCACCCAATCTCCGAAAACTGGACCCAGAACTCCACTGTTAGTTGTTTTTTTTCCCATTGCTGGGAAATTCAAAACATGGTATTTTGGGTATACCACACGAAGCTTTACCCTGAACTTTATTCTCTTTTTCTCTCTATGTAATTTGGAAATAGTTTTACCAGCTTGCTAGTGAAATGTTCAAATAAGATCGCCAGGAAAGCAGGTGAAGGACTTAAAGAGGACTGAAGAAATATTTATGTAGGGGGATAGGCTTTTGGAGAAAATCATGAATCTTGAATGCTTTTAGATTTAGTTTGGGTTAGGAATAGTGAGTTTTTTGGATAAGTGATTTGATAATCTCAGGTACATAGGATGGTTTAAAAAATTGCTAAGTTATCTTGCTCTTCTTCCCAAGTTTTTGGACAGTTAGGAGTAGGACTGAATTGCTTGCTTAATAATGTTTGGTTTTGGCCTCTCATGTTTGTCTTCTAGTGGATATAAAGGTGTTACAGAGTGCCTTAGCAGCCATCCGACATGCCCGCTGGTTTGAGGAAAATGCTTCTCAGTCCACGTGAGTCCTTCCCTGACTTTGGATTAAGGTAACCTTTCTAACTGCAGTGACTAGCAGGATACCCCCACACTTCACCTCTCATAGAACTGTTATGGCTATGATCTTCTGTGTGGATTTTGATTTTTTACCTTTAGTAAGCAAATTAAGATTGAAAGGAAAAAGGAAAAGACATGTAGTTCTGGAAATAGTGTAGTTAGCTTCACTCTACCTCAGGTGTGGAGTGTGGAAATACATATTATTACTTTTTTTTTGAGACGGCATCTCACTCTATTGCCCAGACTGGAATACAGCTTACTGTAACCTCGAACTCCTGGGCCAAAGTGATCCTTCTGCCTCAGCCTCCTGAGTAGCTAGCAGTACAGGCGCCACCATGCCTGGCTAATTTTTTTTGTAGAGAGAGGGTCTTACTATGTTGCCCAGGGTGGTCTTGAACTCTTGGTCTCAAGTAATCCTCCCACCTTGGTCTTCCAAAGCAGTAGGATTATAGGCATGAGCCACCTAGCCTGGCCAATGTTAATTACTTTTAACCTTGGGTCACTCTTGCTTTCAGAGTTAAAGTTCTCATCAGACTACTGAAGGACTTGAGGATTCGTTTTCCTGGCTTTGAGCCCCTTACACCCTGGATTCTTGATCTACTGGTAAGTAAAGAAAGGGCAATTGTAATTCCTGATTATCTCTATTTAGCGGTAGTTACTCTAAAACCTACCAGAATCTGAAATTCAGTGAAGCTTAGAAGAACTTTCATTGGTGGACAAGTGATTCATTTAAGATTCAGTGTTTATTCATTGGATTTTTTTGAGTATTTAATGAGTAGTTACTGAGTTACAGTATCTGACTTTTCATTACTGTTAATCATTTCATTATTGTGATAATGGAGAGAAATAGCCATTTCAGAATTTTTGGCTGGATTTTAATGACCAGTTTTCCTTGAGATGATTTAAAGTTTTATTAATAGTGTGTTTGAAGACAGAATTGCCAATTTGGTGGCACATCTACTAGATTTATTATTTTCTAGGGCCATTATGCTGTGATGAACAACCCCACTAGACAACCTTTGGCTCTAAACGTGGCATACAGGTACAGCATACTTCTTTGGGTTTAGGACTGGTTGTAAGCTGTCTTGTGTGTTCTTTTAACACTTCTCTGTGTTTCAGGCGTTGCTTGCAGATTCTGGCTGCAGGACTGTTCCTGCCGGGTTCAGTGGGTATCACTGACCCCTGTGAGAGTGGCAACTTCAGAGTACACACAGTAATGACCCTGGAACAGCAGGTATTAGCACAGCCATGAAATGGTCTGTTCTGCCCCTCTATTGAATACTTCTGATAGAAGGCAAAGGGAATGTGGTCTTTAGTGGTCAGGGATCTGGGGGTTCTCAAAAGATTTTGGTCCTGAGATTTAAAATTCTCCTCATCTCTATTTTGAAAAGGATATTAGTCAAATAAGATACTACTTTGAATCTCCTTGCTAACTTACCCTCCCTTTGCTCTCCTTCAGGACATGGTCTGCTACACGGCTCAGACTCTGGTCCGAATCCTATCACATGGTGGCTTTAGGAAGATCCTTGGCCAGGAGGGTGATGCCAGCTGTGAGTGTCCACTGTTGGTCAGGGGTTTCTTACTGTACTCTGTGGTCTACAAAGAAGCTGTACACTACTCAGATGTCTTAATATTTCTACTGTATAAATCATAACTGGGCTACTTGTCTTAAATCACCTTTTTTTCCTAGATCTTGCTTCTGAAATATCTACTTGGGATGGAGTGATAGTGACACCCTCAGAAAAGGCTTATGAGAAGCCACCAGAGAAGAAGGAAGGAGAAGAGGAGGAGGAGAATACAGAAGAACCACCTCAAGGAGAGGAAGAGGAAAGCATGGAAACTCAAGAGTGACCTTCACTCCCTTTTCTACCCAAGGGGAAGACTGGAGCCTAAGCTAGCTGCTACTGGGCTTTATATGGTGGCATTTCTGTGGGATAGGGAAGACAACAGGAAAGAAGATAAACTGTAGAAGGAAGTGTCATTCCACTGGGTTTTGATACTGGCTTAGCAGCCAGAAGTCTTTCATTTATGGCCTATGCCATCCATCTATAATGAAGCAGGATACCAACATTTCTTCCTAATATTTTAGAATCCCCAACTGCTGAAAACCCCTCCACCAGTACTTTATTGTTGAAATGTTGTGAACTGTCAGTGTCTGGAAACTTTTTTTCTAAGAAAAACGATTAAAGTACTTCCTAGTAGGGTTCTTGGTCTTGTTTTTCCTTGGCATGTGTTAACCTTTTTTTGCTTCCTTTCGATTTTTATCCTCATTAAAAGTGATTCTTGAGTCTTTTAATTATATATAAACAGTTAACATCACAATTTGAAGCTGTACTTGAATTAAAGCAGACTCCTGGAACCTTTCTGCATACCAGAGTAAATCAGTACACTGTTGAAGCATTTATTGAATTAAATGGTTCTAGCAACACTGCTATTTACTATATTCAAGCCAGTGCAATAAGAAAAAAAGCCTGGACAGGTCATTCACCTTGACTTTGCCTGCCCTCTCCAAATCCTCAGTGTAAACAAAGGAAAATGAGAAGTCAGAGGTAGAGGGCGTGCTGCCCAGGCACATAACAAAGGAAGCCCCACTGTGGTTAACAAGGCTTGAAGAAGGTAGTCTTCTAATGCGTAGCTTGTAAAAAAAATGTGGAGGTCTCAGCTTATTCATGGAAGGAAGCAAGAGCTGCAATTAAGTCCTTTTTGGGTACCTCAGTCCAGCTGCACACAGGGCCCTTTTTCTTTGGGCCCATACATAAATGGGTAAGACTAAGTGCTTCAAACAAACCATAGGGCTGCCTTTAACGTCCCAAGGTCTATAGGGATTGTCTCCTGGAAGCTTTGCATGTCTGTTGAAGCAAGGCAGGTGGGAACAGTACTTGTGCTATCCTGAGGCCATGAACTCATCTGTCCTGTCATTTACTTGGAGAACCAGAGGGGTAAACTCCTGAATCCAGCATTGCCCTCCTGCGGGCTGTTTCCTTGGCAACACTGTGGTTTAGCCGCCTCAGCCGTTCCTATAAGACAAGGATGACCTGGAATCTAATAACTGCTGTGAAAGGCTTTAAGAGTTTAAGTCAACTGGGTGCTGCAAAGTATCGCAGGCTCTCACCTCCAAGCCATTCTTAAGGTATATTTAAAAATGTAAATGACAGCAACTGGATACCGAGAATAGTAGGTTTCTCTTCCCCCAAAGATTAAAAAAATTCCAGTAGCTTTAATTGTGTTGAAGACCTATAAAAGGGCAAAGAATCACTGCTAGTAGGAAATTCTTTTACCTGAGCATTTTGTAGAATGTTGTTGACCAGGACAACTCGCCGCCGGGCATTAAGTAGCTTTTTAACATAGGGGTCGAGATCCAGGGCCACCTTCTGATCCTCATTAATACGGCACAATTCTGGAGATGAAAATAGGTGCAACTAACATTTAATGGCTCATCTCTCTTTCTTAGGGGAAAAAGGCTAGTAAGGGGATGGAAAACGCTCTTGCACCCACATGGGCCACAGCCACTATAGACTTAAGACATCTCTGAAAAGAGGAGTCATTTGGCAGCCCTGATGTCCTGGCAGCAAGTGACAGAAACCCAGCCCAGAGGTTAGCAAAACATAAGGTCCTGAAAGTGAGTTGGAGGATTACGGGTACACGGGGATGCTCGCTTACCTGTAGCTAGGTTGTCAATTTGTTCCCGGAGCTCCACCTGGCTCTCTCTGCAAAGAGGTACAAGGCCTACACGGTCAGGCAGTTAACTGAGCTCACGAAACTAATTCCTCTACGTTATTTCCCAAGTACTGAGAGAAGCCAGCCTCAATTTAATCTTCCAACCCGCGGTCTTCCGTGGGTTCTTCCCCGCCTCAATCAGGTTCGTGAATTATTAGTCCCAGCCAGAATCTCTCTTGGTCCCGCCCCCAACTTCCCTCTCGGTCACCTGACGGCGTGGACGTGAGAGTCAAGCTGCTGCACAGCCGGTCGCAGGAATTCCAGGAGCCCTTCGGCGAAGAGGTCGCGGCCCGTGGGCCCCGCCACCGGGGTCCCTGCCCCAGACACAGCGGCGGAACCAGGCCTGGCCATCACGAACTGTCCTGACGCCCGGAACCTGCCGCGAGGGCCGCCGGGAACTGGGGCCGCGCCGAAGTGCGCCGCGAGGGGGCGCCCGGGAAAAGCCATCTCGGAGCCGGCGCTGGGGCTTCTGGGAAATGGAGTCTCTGGCGCAAGCAGAGTTGGGAGAAGGGCGGCATCCTGGACCCCTCTGGGAGTTGCATTAGTAGTTCTTTGTAGGTCTGTGTCAGGTTTTGAAAACCTGCAGACTTCGGGAGCTGAGGAAAGGAACCACTTTTTGGAGCGGATATTTTTTGTTTTCTCCAAAGGTGAAAGTAAATACTAATATCCCCAGTTGTCCATAGCCTTCCTATGTTAACTTTGTGAGAAAACCAGAATATATTCATGGTGTAGTTTTATATTATATTTCTTTTCTCTTTTCTTGTCTTAACTAGTCTCACTCTGTTGCCCCGTCTCCGCGGTGTCAGTCTAGCTCATAGCTACCTCAAAGTCCTGGGGTCAAGCAATCCTTCTGCCTAAGCCTTGCGAGTAGCTGGGACTACAGGCATGCGCCACCATGCCCGGCTAATTTTTTCTATTTTTGGTAGAGACGGGGTCTCGCTCTTGCTCAGGCTGATCTCGAACTCCTGAGCTCAAATGATCTGCCTGCTTCGGCCTCCCAGAGTGCTAGGATTACAGGTGTGAGTAGTTTTATATTTCTAAAGAGTATATTTTTAATGGTACTAATATGTACAAAATTACACACGAATATTATTTAGCCTTAAAAAGGAATGAAATTCTGGTACATGCTGCAACACAGATGAACCTTGAGGACATTATGCTGAGTGAAATAAGCCAGGCACAAAAGGACAAATATTAATTGTATGAGTCTACTTACATGAGTTACCTAGAGTAGTCAAATTCATAGAGATAAAATATAGAACAGTGGTTACCAGGGGCTTCCAGGGCAGGAGGAATGGGGAGTTATTGTTCAATGGGTACAGAGTTTCAGTTTGGGAAGATGAAACAGCTTTGGAGAGGGATGGTAGTGATGGTTGTATACAATGTGAGTGTCCTTAATGCCACTGAACTGTACAGTTAAAGATGATTAAAGTGGTAAATTTTGTTATGTATATTTTAGTACAGTAAAAAACTTTTTAAAAAATTGTATTTGTTTCCATATTTTATTCCCTCAAAAAAGTTTCCTTAGTGTAGTTCAGTTTTGTTTTCTATAGTTTTCCAGGAAGTTTACATATGTCCCTTATGCTCTCATGTGTTCCAGTGGCTCACAATTCTCTAGGCGGTGGGAGAGGATGTGTGTGCAGAAATGCTCTCGGAGGACAGGCAAGGGGATCCATAGAGGTAAATGGGCCTTGAGCTTCATCTTCAGGATTAAAGGAGGATAAGGCATTTGAGGCATTGTGGGAGGATGGCAATCGGCAGCTATAAACCTGAAACCCCAACTATAATAACTTTTAAAGCCTTGTACACTTCTTGTTGTTGATTGTGTTTGTGTCCCTGAATCTCATTCTCTGGTGATTAGAGGTAATATTCTCATGAGAGCCTGGAGGCTTATTTTGGGAGTAAGAGGAAAGGAAGGGAGCAGCTAGAGCAACTACTACCTGCTTCACAGGCCTTGGGAAGAGGAAGCCCAGGAGATAGAGTAGTGACAGTGTTGAAGAGGAAAGGAAAAGGGTCCAGGTCCCTGAGGCCTGTACTGGAAAGAGAGAACGGCATGTTGGCCTGGGCTGGAAAAGGGCTTTGGAGGTTGATGGTCCAGTATCTGGACAAGAAACCCCTGAGTTAGGCCACAGTCCTTTCTGGTGCCTCTTCAAAGAAGGGCTGCTGAATTTGGAAAACAGAACAAACAAAACACCTGAGATACCAGGTAAATTTGAATTTCAGATAAACAACAAATAATTTTTTAGTATAAGTATTTTATCTGGTAATCCTACTTCAAAGGCTAGTTCTCCGAGGAAAACCACTATGTGTTTTGTTTTTCTGCCTTCCTTTTTAGTCCTTATCAGCTTGAGTTAGACTTTATCTCTCACCAAGGCTCCTGACTGATCTTCTTGCCTCTGGTCTCTCATCCGGCCAGGTCAGTCTGCACTGAAAATACCAGTCAGATTACATAATACCCTCACTCAGAGAAAACGAGTGCTGGAAGGGATTTTAGCACACATCTCTCCTTGGTTTCTGGGACACTTGTGAGGAAGTCACAAGGGTCTTGTGCAGGGTCTTGCAGAAACCCTAAAGTTTGATAAGAGGTTGAAAACCAGTGCTGGTTCAATTATTCATTCTCTAAACACTTATCAAACTCCATGCACAAGGTATTTAGCATAAAGCCCCCTTCCTCCTTGCCTGCACCTATATCATATAGCAGTGGCCCTCCTTCAGTCTTTGCTTTTCCACAGAGAGCGAAAGAGGTCATAAGACCTCTAAAACTAGCCCATCCCATCCAACCACTACACACACCACCATGCTGTTGGTATAAGTCAGGGTCCAATCAGGAGAGAGAATAGACACAGTAATATAACAGAGAGAGTTTAATATAACAAGTTATCATCTATAACTGGATTGGAGTAATGAGGAATTGGTTAATAAGCAGAGAGAACTCCAAACCACATAGGAAGAGCAAATGCGAGGAGCAGCTGTTACCCCTAGAAATAGAGCACATAAAGAAGAGCCCTATCCCCCAGGTCTGAGATACAGACTGTTGAAAAGGGCATGGCTATGGCTCACTGAATGACAGAGACGTTGCTGTGATGCTATGCTGGTGGAATGTGCCAGAAATCTGCCTTCTAGAACTTACAGAAATTCTACCCTCTAGAGTGCCTGGGAAAGCTGTTTATGGGAGATGCCCACCAGAGGCATTCTGCTGTGAAACAGCCTGAAGCTACTGGCCACGGGGTGCCTCTGGCTGCTAGGCACAGCAGGAGCCAAGTTCTGGAGAAGCCATGTTCTGGACCCACTAGAACTGGGAAGCAATTGTTCCTCCCGAAATAGTCCTCCGGTATCCTCTACTGACAAACTTAACATTGTACCTTCTGGCAAAGGAAAAATATTTAGAGTCTAGAACCATTTTCGTAGAGCAGGCAAAAAGGATTAATTTAGAGCTCTGAGGCTCTTTTTCTGGTTATCCAATAGCTGGAAAATTCATGGGTCTGTTCCAACCGAAAACTGTAGATCATTTTATTCCCTTGGGTGCAAGTCACAGGGAACTGTTGGTGTCCCTACCTCTAAGGCCTGACCACCACCCACAGAACCTCCCTAATGGGTCTTGTTTTCCAATCTTCCCATTTTTGGTTCCAAGTATTTGATTTTCTTAGGTGTAATTTTATCAAAATGGAAAAGTATGAGCAAGAAAGGGCAGAGGGTACCTGAGGTGAGGTGAAGGGAAGGAGGAGAGGACAGAGAGGGGCAGAATTAGTGAGAAGTTGTACAGGACAATTCAGAGACCATTATTCTCTCATGTTCCAACAGCTTCCTTGTAGCTTTCCACAAGCAAAACCCACTTTCTGCAGGTTGCCTCAGAGGCCTGTCTTGGGTTTCCATTTCCCCCATAATGGTCCAGCATGGGGTATTTACATTTTACAAGCATTTCCACTTCTGAAATCCCACTTGATGTTTATAGATAAGCAGACTGATAGATGAGCAGAGGGGCACCCTGACCTGCAGCCCATAGCTTGGGCAGCTAAGGTTGAGGAGCAAGCTGAGCTGGAGCATGGTATGTAGCACCTGGTCCAGCAGTGTGGTCTCTGGTGCAGCTGGGTCTCCACTCCGTGTGTGGGTGATGATCAAGTGCAGTGAATCCGGCTGCCAGCCATTACAATGTTTATGCAGAGGATGCATAGGTACTGTCTGTCATCCATCACATACCTGTAGCCTCTACCACCTGGGTGGGCAGAAGGAATGGAGTTTAGGTTGACTTTATTATACTCTAATTTGGGCCTAAGCTCTGCACCATCTCTCAAAAGATCTTTTTTTTTTTTTGAGACAGAGTCTCACTCTGGTGCTCCAGCTAGAGTGCTGTGGCGTCAGCCTAGCTCATAGCAACCTCAAACTCCTGGGCTCAAGCAATCCTTCTGCCTCAGCCTCTGGAGTAGCTGAGACTACAGGCATGAGCCACTATGCCTGGCTAATTTTTTCTATATATTTTTTTTAGTTGGCCAATTAATTTCTTTCTATTTTAAGTACAGATGGGGGTCTCCTCGCTCTTGCTCAGGCTGGTTTCGAACTCCTGACCTTGAGCGATCTGCCTGCCTCGGCCTCCCAGAGTGCTAGGGTTACAGGCGTGAGCCACTGTGCCCGGCCCTCTCAAAACATCTTGCTTTCTCCCTGACTTCAAGAATCACCTAGATCAGATCTTCTACCCAAGCCACTTCCAGTCTGAATGTCTCCCTTCTGCTTTCATATCTCCACTAGGAAAATCTTCCTAGTACTCAATTCCTGTACTCCTCCAGTTTTATGGGCTGTATGGGACCAGGTGCCCCTATGTTCCTCCAGTAATCCCAGTCCCTTGACTTCCTCCCCACTCACCAATAGCAGGGCTAATGCCCCTCAGAGTCAGACCTGGGGATGTTGCTTTCACAGCCACTGTGCATGAACTGTGGCCACCTGCTGCCGTGTCTGCCATAGGCTGACTGGCACAGGCAAACACTTGGCAGGAGGCTGGTGGTCAGGATGCTCTGCCGACCCAGTTGTGCCCACATTGCCAACTCTCATCCTTGCCAGAGTCCTGGAGCAGCTCTTTTTCTTGAGATGCTGGGTTGGGTGCTGTCGGTGTTTCAGCACCTGTGAGCCGTTCTGTTCTAGATTTTAGGTCTGTTCCCATTTCCTGGAAGCTCTGGCTCTGCCCTACCTCTCAGGCCCGCTGTTTTCCCTATGCTTGGGTTCAATTGTCTTCTCCTTGCTGGACTTAATTAAGATGAATCCTGGGGTAGGTTCATGAGGAAGCTCTGTGGGAACATGCAGTGCTGGCTCAGGCAGAACAGTCACATTAGTGCCCTATGCATATGCACCCTGTACCCACTGTGGAGCCTACGGAGGGCTGAAGGGGTGGTCACAATTAGCAGAGGATCTTTCTTGTGGGAGAGGGGGGGGTCACAGAATGGTGTCTGATAATGCCTTTACCTGGGGAGGAGGACCTGAGAATCAGACTTCTTTGGGCCTGTCAGGTCCAAAGGACAGGGACAGGCTATTCCTGGTTCACCCCGCTGTCTGGGAGGCCAGAGCTCTGTCTGGAAAGCCTTACAGTGCTTCAGTGGAGGAACCGAAGTGTCAGCAGCAGGGCTGGGAGCTGGGAAGGGTTAGGGGAGTGAGGCCTGTGATTCCAGCTGTCTTATTAACTGGTGCTCCTGGAGAGCTGCCATCCTCCACAGCCCCTATCGTGGGTGAATTCTCTGGCCAGACTCCAGGACTCCTGCTTATCACAAAGGGGTCAGAGGCTGAGGGTGGGGTCCTGGTTTAGTAGTGCTGAGAAGGGCACTGGGGGCCTTTATTCTTTTATCTTTTTTGTCTACCTTTCCCCATCTCCTTTCTTTTCTGTTTTCTGATCTTTCTCCCTGAAATTAAATTCCTTTACAGTATGTGCTTTTGACTAAAATCCAAAGGGGAACACTTTAGGACATTTTGGGGAAGACTTTTCCTCCTTTTTTCCCATGGACATGTTTAAATCTTGAGCTGATAATTGCCTTACACTAAAGAAAAGTAAACAAATTAAATAAATCAAGCCTTAATGGAGAATAAAGTAAATCCTTTAAAGAGGCCTCACAGAGACTTTAGCTACCTCAGGCCTGCTCAACCGCCTGCCCTACACAGTAAGGCCCATGACTAGGGGCTGCTGTCACCATCACAGGTCCCAGACCTGTCTCCACCCTCAGGGATCTCAATGTCCCCCTAGCCTTCCTTCCTTGCCTCAGGGCCATGTGGTCAGCCAGGGCTCCCAGTATGCCCGGTTGGGTCACTAGCCAGGGCGTGGTACAGAGATGGGAGAGCCCACTCAGGCAGTAGGTGGTGGTCAGCTCTACCCTGACCCCTGCTGGGTCCACATGGCTATCTATTCTATTCATAACAGCATAGGACAGCCAGGTGGCACCTAGACTACCTCTTCCACTAGCACATCCGACTAAAAGTTGGGAAAATGGAGTATTGGAAATCTGGAGATGCAGCGAATCCTAGTAAGAAGCTGGAAGGTGGTGTTTGGGGAAGGTCCAGGGTCAGAAGCTGGAAGATATACCCCCATTGTGGCAATGCTATCTGTACAGTACATGAATGTTTAAGTGCTTGGAGGCCTCCAGAGCCCAAGGAAATAAATAGAGGCTTGGGCACCTCAGCTCTTCCCACATTCACTAGACTATCAATAGGAGGGCTGCCGCTACAATAAAACAGGACAGCCCATTGGAAGAGGAAATGGGGCAAAGAGGCCAAGCCAGGTCCTATCCCTAGGTCGCAGCCCCTCAGGTGTCCTTGCCTCCTTCTCAGGCTTGCCCCACCAACAAAGCCTATTTAGGTGCTGCTCAACTGCTGGGGGTGGGGTGGGGATTAACTGCCTGAGGGCCTTGGGAAGCCTGGAGGTGAATGAGGTGCTGCCATTAGGACTTAGGGCTGGAAGCCTGGGTCTTACCAAGGTATGAGGCTGGGTTGGGGGAGTGGTAGCTTGTCCTCCTACCCTGTCTTCATCTCCCACCAGTATTCTATTTAAATCATCCCGTTTTATCTGCCCACTACACAAAACATAAAGTCCAAGCACTTTAGCAGAAAATTTAGCTTTAGGCTACCTACACAATCTTTCTAGCTGTGTCTGATCCCACCTCAGAGACCCAGCGAACACTCAATTTCCCTGGCATATGTGTTCTTAAGTCAATGTACTTTTACATTTGGTTCCCTGTGCTTGGTAAATTCTTTTCCCTTCTGTGTAAAATGCCCCCTGAACTTTCAAGATCTAGCTCATCCATCTCTCCGCTGTGCTCCCGATCCCCTTCTAACAACAAAGGCAAGCCCTCAGCAGATGGCAGGTGAATGAAAGGGTGACCTAGAGACCAAGTTTACTCTCCTTGTGCCATTCTATTCAGAACTGAGGATAGCCAAGGTGGACACAGGTGAGACCCTGGGAACTTCCAAGCCCCAGTACACACAATCTTTTAGCAGTTTAGGGTACAATGGCAACTGGTTTGGTTGGGGGTGGGCAGCGTCTTCTTTTCCCTTAAACACCAGAGAAAAGGGAAACCAGTTCCAGGGTTCAAAGGTCCAGAATGTTGACCAAGCCCATCCAGCCTGAATTTCCCATGGGCCAAAAGGGTTAGTCCACTACTTTGTGGGGTTGATCACCTTTCTGCACGTCTTAATCAAAGGAGGTCAAATTCTTCACTTGGTGCCTCAAAGCAACATTCCCCTCACAATTTTATTTTTTTGAGACAGTCTCACTCTGCTAGAATGCTGTGGCATCAGCCTAGCCCACAGTAACCTCAAACTCCTGGGCTGAAGTGATCCTACTGCCTCAGCCTCCCGAGTAGCTGGGACTACAGGCATGTGCCACCATGCCCGGCTAATTTTTTCTATATATTTTTAGTTGGCCAATTAATTTCTTTCTCTTTATAGTAGAGATGGGGTCTCGCTCTTGCTCAGGCTGGTTTTGAACTCCTGACCTTGAGCCATCCTTTGGCCTTGGCCTCCCAGAGTGCTAGGATTATAGGCATGAGGCACCATGCCTGGCCTCCCCCCAGAATTTTAATACAACCAGGAAGAAAAGGACTCTCTACTATCTAAGGGGCAGCAAGACAACATTAAAGTAGCCATAGCATTTTTTTTTTGAGACAGAGTCTTGCTTTGTTGCCCAGGCTAGAGTGAGTGCCATGGCGTTAGCCTAGCTCACAGCAACCTCAAACTCCCGGGCTCAAGCAATCCTACTGCCTCAGTCTCCCAAGTAGCTGGGACTACAAGCATGCACCACCATGCCCGGCTAATTTTTTCTATATATTTTTAGTTGGCCAATTAATTTCTTTCTCTTTATAGTAGAGACGGGGTCTCACTCTTGCTCAGGCTGGTTTCGAACTCCTGACCTCAAGCAATCCACCCGCCTCGGCCTCCCAGTGTGCTAGGATTACAGGCGTGAGCCACCACGCCCGGCCAGCCATAGCATTTTGAGGAGCCCAACAAATAAGGAGAAAGTCCTGACTGGATTTGAGAGAACAATTTGTTATAATTAACCAGAAATACAAGATTCCACTGAAACTGGAACAGTTGACAGAATATGGCTGAACTTAAACCTTCCAGGAAGATACAAACAGGGTCAAACAAAGCCATCGAGAGGAAAAGCCCAACATCGGTGTGGGATAAACATGAAGATAACTGCATTTCCGCATGGGTTATCTTCTGACTCCTCCCAGCAGTTCATCTACCACCATTCTCTCACCCTTCTTCCTCTGACAAAGCCTGTCAAACCAAATGGCTTCTCCCTCTATATTGCAAGTGTAAGCCAACCCAATAGGACCCCTTAGGGATATGATATAAAGCCAAGAGAAAGTTTTCAAATCTCCTATTAGGGTAGAAAAGTACACATACTCAACCCAGCACAAATGGTCATCATTTATGTGGGGGGGTCAATGCACATGGTAGTAACTTCAATCAAATCAGAGCTGCTACCACATGTAACCTGTTATGTGGCCCTATAGGGATGTCAACGTTCCCAATTTACTACACTAAATTATCAATGTAGCAGAATGCAGTTTTGAACTCCAGATATTCTAAACACTCCTAAGGGGCTATTAAACAGGATGTAGAACAGAACTCTACAACCTCAGAAACCTAGGCATCATGGAGAACGCTGGCTCTTTCTGGGATCTTTCTGCAGGAGCAAAGAGATGAAGAGAAGAAATGTTAGTGTGTCAGAGCCCATGACAGTTGATGGGAGGCAGAGGTAGGAAGAGGGTGTTCTAGCCATGAGGCCAACACATTTGTGTTCAAAGAGAAGTCTGAGCAAAGGAGGAAAACAAAAAAACACAAAACCCCAACCAAATCAAAGGAAAAAGTTTCATACAACACAGTATCAAAAAGAGAAAGGAACACCTAAATGCGCAAACTGGTGGTAAGTCCAGAGCCTATTGTGATAGGTCCATCCAGCATCAATCAAGTTTCTTCTCATCTGTTATGTGAAGATTATTTACAGATGTGGTGACTTTAATAAGAGTCTCTCACAGGAGGGTGGGCAGGCTTCAATCAGTGGTTTCAGGATCTGTCTGTGCCATGTAGGCATCCAACTCGGCATCCAGGTGTCCTTTCGTTTTCGACATGTATGCATCCAATTGGTTGTCCAGCTGCTCCTTGGTCAACACAGGGCGAGCAAGGGCACCTCTCCCTCGTCCACGGCCTCGGCCTCGGCCTCCAAAGCCCCCTCTTCCCCGACCTATCATACCCCGACCTGGCCCAAAGAAAAAAAAAAGACAGTTACAAGTAGGTTTAATGGGTGCTACAGTAAATGCCCCTCAGAGCAGTGGGGCCTAGCTGAGGAAAGCTGAAGGGCAGGGCAAAGAGGAGAAATCTGGAAAAACAGGAAACACACTGGGTAGAAAGCAACACATGGAAAGCACACATAATGAATCCCTTATTACATGCTTATCTCTAAATGCTATTTAAAATTTTTTCTTCTATCAAGATAATAATTAACTGACAATTATAATTTTAAAAAACCTTAATCTCTCCTAAGATAAATTACCTAACATTTGAGACCCACTGTAAGTTCATAACTAAAATACATGATAGATAACCCCATTTAGTAAGCTAGGGAGGCAGTAACAAGGGCACAGATAATCAGTGGTGTAAAGGCAGAGACAGTTTTCAAATCAAGCTTATTGGAGACCTTTCTGGTAAGTTCTTAGCTCTCCTTAAACTTTCAAGTCTAATGAGCTGACCCATGTGTCAGGAGACTGAGGAGTTATTCTGACATAGGAGCAATGTGGGGAGATGAGGAAAAACATTTTGAGTGCTCCCAGCTACTTCTATCTAATTCTAGTCACCTATGACAATTGACAAATGTGGTTATCTCAGAGGAAGTTTCAATTCACTTAACAAAACACACTCAGCTTTCTATAAAGCTACTTTAGTCTCTCTTAGAAACTAAAGTCATGGTAATTTGGAAACATGCCATTTCATCCTGAAACCCAAACTAGCTTGCATTTCACTCAATGAGCCAAGTAGCATATAATAGAGAAGAAAATAATAAGCCCTTAGTTATCAAATTTCCTATCCTAACAGTTAATATTCCTTGGCAACTTCAAGATCATAAATTACGTGCTTTAAAAAGACCAAAGCAAATATACACAGGGGCTATACAATAGATTTCTTATCCTAGAGAGGTGTTGTTGGGAGTTTTCCGCTAAGCTCTAAGCCAGGAGACTCCCATGAGATTTGGCATTAACAGCAACACCATTAAACTCTTTCAATCTGGGTCATGAGATCACAAGACAAATATCAATAAGTCTCAAAGGCAAGATTATCAACAAGAGCCAGTTAACTGATAATAATACCATCTTGTTTTTTTACCTTAAGCAAAAAAAAGTCATCTCTAGTTTCCCATAGGCACAAACTTCACATTGAATTAACTTGGCTTCAGAACCAATGCCCAGCTCCAAGTCTCATTACTCTCTTTTTTATTTTTTTATTTATTTATTTATTTTTTTTACTTACACTGTACTAAGATAGAATGGCCAACCTCAGTAACATCTGAGGCTAGTACATTTCTATCACCATAATTACTTTAGCAAATCTGGTTCCCTTAGCTTCTGCCACATCAGGCAGAGCTAGTGATCGAGTTTGCACACATTACTCTCTTTAACTCTCCTTCATCTTTGTACATCTCCCTCTTTTCTATCCTCATGTGACTCAAACTGGGGTTCTGAACTATGCGGTGGGATGTGTGGTGGTGGTGGTGGGACAGAGATGGAGAAAGGTAAACCCTAAGCTGACCATTTTTGTGGTTTTAAACTTTTTTTATTTTAACAATACAATTTAAATTTCCAAGAGCCTGGAAGACTGCATATAATCTGGCTCTGTAATATGCACTTGACTAGTTCTTGGGAAATCATGACAGACTTTTGCACTACTAGCATGTAAGTTTAGAAGATAAGCCAGTTTCAAATAACAAACAAGACAAACAAAGAAGCCTGCCTATGACTTGAAGCTGTGCAGAAAGGTGGCTCTGAGTTTTTAAGGGAGGAAAATAAGGGGGAGCTACTCTCTGAAGTTGGTAGCTGACTAACCTCTACCACCGATTCCGCCACGACCCATAGCTCCACGCCCTAGGCCCCCTCTCCCAGGACCTCCACGACCTCGAACACCACCTCTTCTTAAGCCCATTCGGGGAGCTACGGCTCGTCCACCTCGGAGCAGGTTTTGACCTTGGAGAGGAGGCATACAATGTATATGCAGGTAAATCCAAGAGAGACAAAGTAGATTCTAACCAAAGGAAGGCGGTGAGGGTTAAATGAGAGTAATTCAGTTAATTTTTAGGTTGGTTGGGGCAAGCTGCACACTGAGTGTGAACAGATTAAAGCTGCTCTTTATTCAATCAATTCAATAAGCCTGACCACAAATGCATTTTTGGAAGAAGCTGGGAGTTAATTAGTAAGTACAATACATTTAATAAATATATACTGAATAATCAGATAGATACCTAGCATTGCAGTAGATTTAAAAATAAATGCTATGGTTCCTGATCTCAATATGTTCTGTAGCGGACAAGAACTATACAGGGAACGGAGAAACAGTGCCCCAAATGTAACATATAGGAAAGCTACGGGTCTACTTGTCCTCTCTTTTTTGCAGATGTAACAGCATTTTACTAGCACCAGGAACACAAACAGTTAAGATACAGGCCAAAAGACCCATAAATTTCTTAGATTTTACTTATTTCTAGAACTTGAATGTGCTTTGATTCAAGCAGCAGCAGGGTGTTTTAAAATGGAATGGAGATGACATGAATTACCTGTTGTTATGCAGGTCATAGCCTCTCACCATTGCACATTATCAGAAAAGGAATGGTATCGATAAAAGACATGCAGCACTATTAAAAATATGTGATTTCAAAAGTTATTAATTACATTAATACAAATTCAGGCTTAAAGATGTTAAACAAATGTGTCCATAAGCAGCCCAAGAGAAAAGGGAAGGGGGATGGGGCCGGACAATTATCAGGTACACAGCACTGACCTCGGAGCGACATCCCGCCCCTAAGTAGGGTTCTGGTGGCACGTCCCCCACGCAGTCCTCCTCTGGGCAAGCCTCTCTGGATTATGGGTAGGCCTCGTCCTCCGATTGCTCCCCTGGCCAGGGCCCCTATGGGTCGGCCTAACCGTGCCTGGATGTTACTTTTACCCAGGCGCTGCTTTAAGCTCTTCTGGAAGAAAAGGTGTTGGGGGATTGAGATCAAAAAGGCAATCCAGCAGGATTTGGCAATTCAAAGTGCAGAGAATAAGAAGCAAGTGAGATGTCTGGTGTGAAGGGAGATAAACCTGTTGTGGGTGTCATAAGGATCCCAAATCAGAAACAAGCCTTTGCCTCAGAACATGATATAAAACAAGCAGAATTTTGATCCAGAGCAGAAACTCTAAGAAGCTTGAGTATGGTCCCATGAAATTGGCATCACCACAAACTACCTCACTAGTTTGGCTACAGAAGTCACACACTGTCTGTCAGTTGGAACTTAAGTTTCAGTAAGAACATTCTATAGTTTAATCCTGGTTTATGCCTTGTGCTGTTTTTGATCTACAGGTTGTCAATGACATGACTTGATTCATACCTGCCCAAGGACTATCACTGTCTTCAAGGCTTACTCAAACTCCATAGGAAGTTCATCATACTCTGGGCAAAATTTAAATTATAAGTTCATTTGAATTCTTGTGATTTAAGAACAAGACTGATTTCTCAAAGAGGCCCGTGTGCTCCATTTTTCCTCTGAGTATCTATCTCCAGACGGTCCACTTTTTACCTTAAGATGTAAATAAACACAAAAAGTCAAATCTCCTTTCCTTACATTTCTTAAAAATTTGTAATTCCATGTCTACCCTCGCAAACTGCTCTTTTAAGCCAGTATAACGACCTTTAATTTAAAGTAAACATGTAACTCAAATGTATCTCCACAGAGAGCCAGCCAAACTTATATTAAAATTAAGACAGGTGAGCTAGCATCACAAAACCCAGGGCCATATAAAAGGACATGGATGTACTACAGAGAGATTTTCAGTATCTATTATCAAAGGGAAACCACATCCTAGAGAATTAAATTCCTTCAAAGGAAAAACAAATAGTATAGCCTTAAACATAATACCAAGGCCCTAGCAAGCCTGATTTTCTGTAATGCCATCAGTTAATATGAATGAAAATAAATTCTATGTGTCACGCATAAGGGATTACCAATGTCTCTCTTTTTTTTGCAATCATACCCCTCAAAAGATGCTGTGAGGCATTATTACTAGCTTTCTATCACAAGATCATAAACTGTTTGTCAGAGAAGGCTCTGAACATTATGCACCTAGCATGGGCGAGTGGCCTGTTCTTTCACTCCCGATTAACACACAATAATGAGGCCAGGACCACATTCCTCAAGTTCCCTTGTGTTCACTGATTCTGAGTATATTCATTCTCCTGTGTACTTTAAGTGGGGAACTGTATAGTGCTAAAAAATTCTTCTCCCTTCCCAATCCTTAGTTGTCACCAATACTGGTCTCTAACATTGTAAATACTTCAACTATGCCACCCAGTTTCTTCTTTAGAGCTGTGCCCATATAAGGTAGCCACTTGCCACAAAGTTTCAAATAGCCACATGTGGCTAGTGGCTACTGTACTGGATAGCAGACATAGAACATTTCTATCACTGTATAAAGTTCTATTGGACAGCGCTACTCTAGACCGTGGCTACTTTCTGCAGAGTCTATACTTATATATTTAAAGCTTCTTGTTGAAAATTCCTCTGAAATGATCTGTCACAGATTTATCTTCAGGAATTTTTATTTAGTCTTGAAAAATGATGGTGCCTTTTGCTGCTTTCCTGAGTCAGGGAGGAATCCAGTCACTCCAAGGCTTAAGGTAGCTGAAGCAGAAAGCCTCGTTTATTTTTGGTCAGTGAGCCCAATGGCTCAGGGTGGGGGTGGAAGGGTGTTATATTTAACTGCTGAATTTGTGCACAGCCATGCAGTGCTACCAGTTAGAGTCCTTACAGTTGCATGGCACCGCCCTCCAGACAGCCAGCCACAGCTTGGGCATATCCTTCCACAGCCACTGTCCGGACTTGCATATAAAGTCTATGAATAATAAAGAGCAGGTTTTATTTCAGGTCTGAATAGGATTATCTCTCACTGGAAATTTGAAAGAGAACCCACTAACTCAAGTTAATTACTCAGTACTCTTGCTCCACTTTACTGATAAAACTTCAGGTGTTGTGGAAATGAGGGTCGTTCTATTCCTTCTACATTTTAGCACTGAAAACCTTTGAGTAAACCCATTCAAGACTCCCTGCACCAGGGAAGAAAGAATAAAATTATTTCCCTAGTTTGTAAATCATTTAACAGGGGGTAAAGGATGTTTTAAAGATTATCTAAAGCTGAAACAAAGTTTCTTTGTGGAAAAAGCCAATAATCTACATTAAAGGTAAAGGATCAGAAAACAAAAGATCAATACTCATTGATAACAGAAACAGGCCACACAGATGGCGGACTCCCAAAGAGAAAAAGACAATAATAAACAGTTACTTATCAGTACCTGCCAAAATTGGAATTCTCTGAACCTCTCTTCCAGAGAAGTTTCAGCTTTTGCCCTGAGCCACCTTGTAATCATCCATCACGTCCTGATAGCCTCAGCAGACTGCCTGACAGAGATCACCAGCTGCTTCTGGAACATTAAGACCCATTCTCTCACCTGCTTAAGTTTTAATGCTGCCTGGACAGAGGGTCTATTCTCCATCTGCTGGGCCAGTCTTCTGTTTCTGGCACTGGCTAGCTGCTGTTGTTGCTGCATCGAAGCCCGAATATTCACTGGCATCGGTTGTTTGTTCTTCAGCATATTAGTAAAGCTTCAAGGTCGAACAAAATGGATGTTTAAATAAAAGCTTTATTACAAAACATTTATTGGCATTTTCATGGCTTGCTAGACCAGGAGCTCCAGATCCCACGAACTTTTAAGTAAAGTGGTACACTTAGATCAAGGCTGATGTGGGTTAAAGACTCCATAGTTTCCACAAACTTGCAAGAATCAGAAACTTAGAAATGCAGCTAAGTGCAGCACATTCAATCAAAAGTGATAACAAGGGCTCAGGTAACAGTTTTTAGAAAGGTGGAAAGTATGAAAAACACGCAATAAGCAGATATGATGACAAGAGACAGAAGATGCAGTTTCAAAGACAAACAAAGAAAGCCTAAACCTTGGGAGACCTGAGGGAGCATTCTAAGGGAAATATGAGAAAGGGCTAGAGTACCTTCAGAGCTCATGGAAATAATGCACTCATATAAATTATAGGAGTGTAACAAATTTAAAAACATATTTGTCACTTAGTAACATATGAATATAGATATTAGTGTAACATATCTTAAGAGATAAGGAGAGAAGCACGTATACTTCAAAAGAGGCAAAAATAGACATTCAATAAACCTTAGTGGTCTAACATCAATTTAACAAATTATTGGCCAAAGGCACCCAATGAATAAAGCTCTCAGAGGTAGAAACTGCCTTTAAATACTTTTACTTTTCTTAGTCTCAAATTATCACTTTTTCTGACTCCAAGTGGTTACTTATGAAAGTTAGGTAAGTCCAATCATTTTAGAGCCTGTGAAGACACCCCTGTATTATTCCTGTCAAGGTAATTTAATGGAATGGAAGGGAAGAACACTTAACTGTGAAAGAATCCAAAACAAAAACAAACTAGAAGCAGAATGGAAAGAAAGTGAAATGGAGCAAAGCAAGTGCCTCTTACAAGGCCCAAGAATGACATTCAAGGGCCTTTGGACATATTCATGGCTTGCTACCTGCCTCTTACAGGCCAAACACAACACTGCTGGCCTTGGACTGGGCAGCAAGCCTACTGCAGCCAGGGTACCATGCTACCGTGCTGCACCACCCCTGTATCAATGTAAAAAAATGTGAAGAAAGGGAGGGTGTTAGGAGTCTTTTTAAAATATATCCCACCAGATAAATATTTCAGATAGTTTAACATAAAAGTCTACTGACAAGGGGTTTTGAAACAACAGCCCAATTTGTTTTGTGTACCACATTAAGATGCAACTAAGAACAGAGGTCTGTAGCCTTCTGTTGGTATTTAGTTTAAAACCGGTTTTGTGCATTGGACCCCAGGGCCAACTTAAGTAATGTTTTCTTAGGAAGGAGCTGAAGTTGCTGTTGGCTGCCTCACCGCTCATTTAGAGACATCTTGGTGGTGCTTTTTAGCACAACTTTCGGCGCTGATTGTGCAGCCATCTTCAAATCCCGAGAATCTACAAAGTACAATAGGCAAAATGAGCAAATCAGAATTATGGCCACTCATTTCTACAAGGCGTAAAGGCCTTATCACTGACAGCTGAAGATCATATCAAAACTTATTTCAAGTGCTTAGGTATATATAGCAGTTACCTCAAATTAACACTCAAGGCCACAAGAAAGAAAATATTTGAAGTCTTAAAAATGGCAGAACAAAATCTAGCTAAAGGAAGTATAAGAGTTTGGCTTTTAACATATAGCAGTCTCTCTCAATCTTGACTGCATGACTTACCCAGGGAGTTTTTAAAAAATACAGATGTATGGGTCCTGACTAATTAAACCAATCTCTGGTAGTGAGGTCTGGAGATTAGTAATTGTGAGGGGAGAAAAGCTACCTAGGTGCTTCTAATGTGCAGCTAAAATGTTGAGAACCATTTATCTACAGTGAAAATACAGGTATGCAGTTTCAAAATTGCCTTTCAAATAAAAAAATCAAATAGGGGCTTTAGTAAGGAACTGGGGATCTGGGGGAGGGAGCACAAAAGGTTTCTTAAATGGACATTCACCTGGGAGTTAGCTCTCACAGAGCCCTCCACGTAACTCTAAAGCAGCCATTAACTTCCAACGTTCCTTAAAGTCGTGTAGTGCTCATTTAATCTCCTTAACATCCTCAAAGTCCTGTCCAGAACTCCAACTTTGCTCAACCCGCCGAACCATTTCCCTTTTTATCCCTATCCCCAACCTTCTCCATCCCGCCACCAGGTTCCAGTTCAGGTCCTCCCCTGCCTCCTCTCATCGGCTCCGCCCCCTCCCCGGGGCCTCCACACTCCGACACCCTACCTGCGTCCACATCCCACCACCCCTATTACTCCTCCGCCGGCCCCTTCCGCTTCCCAAGACTTTCCCCCTCCTCCTTAGCACAGAAACGCACCGAAGGAAACGGACGCCAGTGCTCCGCCCGGGGCTGCCACCACGGCTGCGGCAGGCGGGCCGGGGACCGGCCGAACCTCAGTTGACGGTGGAGGGACTCGGGTTAACTAGGTGGGCGGTTGGTTAGACGCGTAAGCGGTAGATTGCAAGGTTAGTTTGTTGTTGTTGGTTGCCTGTCTAGTCGGCCGATCCGCCTGCTCGCTGGGCCTGCCCTTTCCTGCCTTTCGTCTGTGCCACCACAGCTGCCGCCGCCGCCGCCAACTCCCGCTCGGCGTCCAAAACAAAATGGCCGCCACGTTCAGTGCGTGTGGGACCGGCTAAAATGGCGTCGGCGCAATTACGTCAGGCGTCAGATCCGCGCACAACTATAGGGCAGGAAAGATTCGCGCTACGCCTGCGCAGAGATCAGAGGCGGAGCCCTGGAGAGAAGGCGGGGCTTTAGCAAAGTTCCCTCCAGAGTTACACGCAGTGCTCCGCCTTCGGAGGGCGTGGTCAGCGGTCCTGCGGTTCGGGCGTGTGGAGGACCTACAGTTCAAGTCGGGCTTGCGCTCAACTTAGTGGTACCGTTCGTAATCTGGGCCAGAGAGAGGAGGTTTGGGTCCCGTATTCCCTCGCCTTCCTGCCCTCAGCCAAGGCATACCGTCAAAAAAATCTTTACGCGGGACTTGGCTCGGTTTCTCCCGGACTACCGGGCCCGCGAAATTTGCACTGGCTCTCCCCTCGTGCGGGTTTGCCCTGTTCGGAGAGTTGTGAAGCGCGGGAAACGCCCAGCCAAGGCTTGGGAGGCCAGTGCTGGAAGCACGCCTCTACCGGATCCTGTGCCGGCCACCGCCGCCCGTCCATATTTTCCTTTTCACTTCCTCCCCTCCCCAACTTGGCCTGAATATTGTTTAATCCTTTAGAGGGGACCTTGGCGTCCCTGATCCACCTTCCGCGTCCTCCCTCCCCGCCTGCCATTCATGTGGATTTTGATGCAGACCAACAAAGGGATTTTCCTTATGCCTGCGAACACAATAAAGTGCTCAGATGATTGAGGAATGAATGAACGAACACGAACACATCTTTAACCCTTCTGCTGCATATGCGCATCAGGACCCTTTCATTTTCCTTCCTGGCACTTGTGTGTGTGTGTGTGTGTGTGTGTGTGCACGTGCATGTATGTTTAATGGCCCCGCATCCTTACTGAACTTTTACCATGTGAGGAAGGTAAGGATAGTGGATTGTGTTTATTTTGGTCACTGCCGTATACCCAGTTCAGCATATAGTAGGGACCTCAGTAAATATTCGTTGCAGGTTGAAAGGAGATTCTTCTGCTTTTGTAGCTGAGAAGCTGACGTCTCCTCCACTTCCAACTGGAACCTTGAACCCCTACATTCCTGGGTCTTGAGCTTTCCTCAAGTAGGAAGATGTAATGCACTGTGACCTCTCTCTAAATAAGACCCTTCCCCAAATAAGGGGAGATGGGAGTGAGCAGCCCCTCTCCACCTACTTCTAGATTGAAGAGGAGACACACACATCACATGGCCGGTGAGAGAGTAGCCTTTAATGAAAGATGAGATGCAGGCCTGGACTGCTACTCTTGCGCCCTTGGTGGATGTGGGGGGAGGAGGGATAAGTGGGGTGAGGTGGAAGCAGGGTGAAGAGGTAGGTCTGGCAGGGTGGGGAAGGGCGCTTCCCACTGGGGTTGTCTGCTCAACTGTTCTCCCAGAAGAAGTTGTTACAGGCCACTGTCAGAGCAGCAACCAGCACCACATACTCCTGGAAGTCCACCTCCCCATCTCCATTCTCGTCTAGCTCTTTCATCACCTTGTCCACAGCATCTGCGTCCTTCTGCGCCTGTGCAGGAGGAGAGGGAGAGGGTGGTTTATAGGGAGTTGTATAGCACTGAGTGACGGGCAAGGAATGTGGTTGAGGAGACTGAAACAGAGACAAGGAGAGGAACTACATTTGATTATGGGACTCTCTGCTGCCCTAAAAACACTGGAGAGCTCCTGTTACTTAACAGAGTAAACGGCTTAACCTGTTATGAACATGTTATACTATATGCTCAGTGCCTACCATGTGACTACACTAGGTGCTTTATAAGCATTGTCTAATTTAATTCCAACACAAATGGTATGAAGTAGGTTTCATTACTTCCATTCTAGAGAAGAAACAGATTGACGGTTGGTAGTTAAATAGATGTGCCCAAAGACACATGGCTAGAAAGAAGCAGACCCAGAATTTGAACCCAGTCTAATAAAACCTCAAAGCTGGTGCACCTTATGTTGTATCCTGAGGTTTCTTTATTATGCGGCCCCATTTCTGCATCCTTCACGCCAGTCAAATGAAACTACTGGGCATGCTCCATGTTTTTTTTTCTTCTATGCTTTTGTTCATGCAGACGCTTCCTCCTAAAATGTCTACATTTACCCCAGTAATTTTACATTGGAAATCCATGGCTCAAGTGCCACCTCTTCAGAGAAGCCATCTCACTTCCATCAGGTTAATCATCCTCCATAACCCTTTCTGGAAAGCACCCCTGTTAAGACTCTGTGTACTTACTGGAGTTCATGGTTTACTTTTTTTCTTCATTTCATTATTTTGATAGTCCCAATGATGGGGTCACCATGGTTTACTTTTAAGTGTCAGTCTTTCCCTTCTAGACTGTGAATCTTATTGTTGGTGAATTTACACAGGGCCTAGCACTTAACAGGTGACTAATAAACCAGGGCATTTTGACTTGACCCAGGGGGAGTAGAGGAGCCTGGGAAAACCCAGGAGAGAAACCTGGGAGAGGAGGGAGATGGTTGGGCTGAGTTGGGGGTGGGTGGAGAGATGGCAGAGAGGTGCCTACTGCATTGCCCCACCCCTCGCCCACTCCACCCTGTACCCCCACCCTCTGCTCACGTCCAGGAAGCCGGAGAGCTCAGTCTGCAGCAGCTCTTTCAGCTCCTTCTTGCTCAGCTTGTACTTGTCCCCCTCCTTGCCCGAGTGGGTGTGGAACACGTTGATGAGGGTCTCCATTGCCGTCTCTAGCTCAGAGCCCATCACAGCAGTGCACCTACCCACCCCGCAACAATGGAAGTGAGCTGGAGACCAGGCCCAGGGTTTCTGGGGGCCAGATGAGGGGAGCCCTCAGGCCTCGTCCTGGTCTCTCAGCTCAGATAGTCAGGAGATCAGAGTCCCACTGCAATTGATTTTTCCCTGAGATTTTACGATGTGGGGAAACCCCAACAGACCTAAATCCAGATCTGCTCTATCACTCAATCTGTACCTCAGCCCAAGGGAGTCAGGGTTGGGGCGTGGAGGGAGAGCTGTTTGAGCTGGGCTGGCTCCAGAGGGCTGCAGTAGGTATCTGCAGTGGCTGCCTGGGCAGAGACTGAGGAGGGTGGGGCAGCTGGGATGGTCACAGGACCAGGCCAGGCTTCCTCTGGCTCTATTTTTACCCTGGACCTTGCCTGCCTAGCACAGGCAAGCTCTGCTGTTGGGGGTGGTGGGCTGGGGTCTCCGCTATAGCTTGCCTCTGCTGCCCACCCCTAGCAAGGGATCAGTCTGGCACCTTAGTGAACATGATGGAGGGGGTGGCAGCCTGAGTAGGTGGCCCAAGACTTCTTGGGGAGTTGGGGAGGGAGGTCTCACTGCCTCTATCAGCAGCCTGGGGGCCCTTTTTAATCCTTCTACTCTGTTCTCTCCTGAGTGTGTCATTTTTGCTTCCCTGGGGTATACCTCCTGTTGCTTCCAGATTGATTCCTCTTACTTCTCTGCAAAATTATCCCTTCCATTGGGTGGGTGGTGTTAAGGGAGAGAGAAATGTCTGAGCCTTTTCCCTAGAGCCAGGAGGGGAAGAGGAGACTTGTGGGCCTTGTCCCTGTGGCTGCTCACTCCTGGTGGATGTGGGGACAGTGGGACTGGTATGAGTTGGGGAAATAAAGGGCTGAGTGCACAAGGTCCTTTGAGTTCAGGGGCTGGGAGAGAGCAGGAGAAGAATGGAGGGGTCTGTTGAGAGAGGAGACTACCACACCAGGGGCCTCTTGCTATTGGCATTGGGGCAGTCAGGCCTTCCATTGCCCCAGGAGGCAGCTCAGGTGTCTCAGATCAGGTGTCTCCAACTCTCCCCAGGCCTGGGGGGCTGGACAATGGGCCCTGATCAGATGGTATCCCAGCTCTTCAATGGGGCCCTTGTGAGTGTCACCTGAACTCCGGACATGAGAAGCAGTTGTCACAGAGACATGGGGAGATGGAACCCAAGCCGGGGCTGATGGCGAGGATAAGGGGGTGCTTGAGGGAGGGATGCTGGTGGCTCAATTACCAGCCCCATCCAGGAGGGGCACCTGGAGGTTGCCTGGAGCCCTAGAGCAGCCTGGGGTCTTACGTGTTTATATGAGGGCAGTTCTGAGAGGACCTGGGGGCAGGGCAGACAGAAAAATAAAGAGGAAAGAATTGAAGGAAAGAGGAGTCTGGAGGTCTGGGCTAAGAAAGTGGAGGAGGGGAAAGGGGAGGTCCCATGAAGGTCGAGTTGGGAGTGGGCAGGCACCTGGCACTCTTTCGATATTGCAGCAGCCACGCTCTGCCACCCCCAGGATTCCCTGAGACCTGAGCTCTTGGCAAGGCTGGGTGGGGGTGGCAGAGACTGAGGATGGAAGGGGGGCAGAAACAGCTGTAGTTCTGCTCTCTTACTCTTACCCCATGGGAGGTGAGGGCTGGGTCCCCTCCCCAGCCCCTGGGAGATGAGGGGGCCTTGGCAGGAGACTTGAGGGCTCTGTGTGGGAAGGCCAGGTGGCCCGGGAGTTCATTGGTGGGCTCCCCTCTGGTTTCCTCATTTACTGCATTCCAGCTCTTCCTCAGTTTACTTGCCTTTCCTCACTACCTTCTAAGTCCTATCTCCCCCAAATCCCAAACTAACCTCACCCTGGCTGACTCCCTCCAGATCCTCAGTGCACCACAAATGCTGTCATCCCCAGACTCTCGGAGCCCCTTGGAAGCCCCCTTTCTCCCAGGCTGGTCCAGGTGTGTGGGGGGGCGATACTCACGTTCAGCTGGGGCTGGAGGTGGGAGTAGGTTCTGGACGGCCAGTCAAGGCTGCAAGTGTGGCTGCGGGAGCTCTGTGGGGAGACCTGTCTTCAGTGTCCTTCCCCTGCTACCCCCCCCACCGGCTCCACCCCTTCACAGATAGACACCCAGTGGGGCAAGGGGCCAGGAGTGGACAAAGGCGCCCTCTGTCTCCTGGGCTGGAACAGGCTGCCCTGTGTCTCTTCCCCAGCCGTGGTTGCCCTGCCAGCAAACACGCTACAGGAGGGAGGAGGTGGGAAAGGAGGCGCTGGGAAGGATGCTGAGAGGTTTCTCTCCCAGCCGGGCTGTACAGGCCTGGCTGGCTGTGCCAGCGGGCAGGGGAAGAAGAGGATTCACTGAGGGGACCCTCAGTTTGTAATTTAGTCTTGCGAGTCTCCATGAGGGGTTTCAATCTAGGACTCTTCTAGGGGGTGCTCAGTCTGGGTTCTCCGAGGAGTCTTAGTCTGGGGGGCCTGTGTGGCTTGTCTCAGGTGGGGCCTCTCAGTGCTGGGCTCTCTCGGTTGATTTTTTCAGTCAGCAGTTGCCCCCCCCCAACATAGACGCTGCTGATTAAATGTGGGGTTGTGGTTGGGCACTGGGAGGGATAGACTCTAGGACCCCCACTGAGTGGGATCTGTGTTGGCAGCTCTCCCTGCAAGTGGCCGTACATGAGGGGCCGGCTGGGGGGGCTGGGGCCAGGCCTGATTGCTCAGGGCGGGAGGCGTGATTGGGCGGTCTCCTCTCTTCAGAATCAACTACGGAAACTTGACACTTCCAGCCTTGGGAGTGGCTCTTGCTCCGGGTGTCTGTGTGTGTGTCTCTCTCTCTGTTTCTCTTTCTCTCTCCCCCCACCCTTTCCTGTGCTTATAAACCTCAGCCCTGCGGCTCCTGCATGCTTCGCCCCATCTCCTGCCCCGGTGAGTCGCGTGCCCTTAACCCTGGAAGGAGCCTGAGGATCCTTTTCTCTCCCTGGGCTCCCAGGTCCCTCCCCCAGAGCCAGTTCAGGCAGGGATTCAGGAAGTGGCTTTGGGAGATCCAGCAACAGTTCCTGCAGGAGTGTGGGCAGAAAAGGGACGGAAGAGTGGGCAGCCCTCCCCTTTGCACCCCAGGGGGCTGTGAGTATTGGTGCCAACCCTCCTGGGTCGTGGGGTGGGGGCGGGGGCGGTGCAGTGGAGCCCTGTTCCAGCATGATTGTTGCTGGGAGACAGGACCAGGGAGAATCTGCGGCATCCTGGGCACAGCACTCTGCCCAGCTCCCCTGAGGAGAGGTAGGGGCTAGGGAACGGAGAAGATGGATCTGTCCAGTCTGAGGTAGCTCTGACTACAGTTGGCCATTGGCCAGACCCTGGGCTTCTCTGCTGGGAAGAGCGGCCAGAGTGTGTGGGGGCGGGCAGAGTGCAGGCAGCTGGAGACCAGGTCCCAACATAAACACTCTTTGGAGACAAACAACCGCATGACTCTGTGAGGCTGGGTGAGACAACAAGAAGGGGCCCTTGGTACAGATACCGAATACCGCACAGAGGGGCTGCGAGACTGAAAAGGACTCCAAAGAAGGACCCCCAGATTGAAATCTCCTCCCAGAGGGGTCTCCAGATTGAAGGACCACCACAGAGGGGTCTCTAAGACACAGACACTTGAGAAGGACCCCCGATTGTGAGATGTATAGAAGAGGTTTCTGGAACTGAACCCTCTGCCCCCACCTAAACTGAGAAGCGGTTGCCTGGTCCCTTGCCCCAAGCTCAGCCCCTGTGCCCTCCCTCTTTCTCCATGGTGTCCTCCAGGGAGAGGCCTGAGGTGGCAACACCAAGGCAGGGGCCTTCTGGCCTATTCCTGTGTCCCTGCTCCCTGACTCTTCCTCTCTGCTCCTTCCCTGTCCCACAGGTCAGCCCTGAGAGGACATCAGCTCCAGTACCAGGGTCCTGATGGCGGCGGCGGCGGAGCCACTGACTGAGCTGGAGGTGGCCATTGAGACAGTAGTCACCACCTTCTTCACCTTCGCAGGGCAGGAGGGCCGGAAGGGCAGCCTCAGCATCAACGAGTTTAAGGAACTGGCTACTCAGCAGTTGCCTCATCTGCTCAAGGTAGGTAGAGGTCTCTGGACTGAGATTTTTTGAGATGGTGATTGTGGGACACTGTCAGGTTCATGAGGTGATATGAGTACAATATGGTATGATATTGTGACCACAAGGAAGGGTGTGGGTGACTGCATGTGTAAATGGTTCTGGGTTTTCTTGCCTGGGTTGTGTGTGTAACTAGGAAAGCAAAGACGCTGTGTCTGCCCCTGTAATCCTAGCACTCTGGGAGGCCAAGGTGAGAAGACCACTTGAGGTCAGGAGTTCGAGAATGGCCTGAGGAAGAGTGAGACTGAGCAAGGGTGAGACGTTGTCTGTAGTAAAAATAGGAACAAACAAACAAAATTAGCCTGGTGTGGTGGTGAGCACCTGCAGTCCCAGCTATTGGGGAGGCTGAGGCAGCAGGATTGCTTGAGCCCAGGAGTTTGAGGTTGCTGTGAGCTAGGCTGACGCCATGGCAACAAAGCAAGACTCTGTCTCAAAAAAAAAAAAAAAAAAAAAGATGCTGTCTGTGTCTGTGTAGGTGAGACTACTGGGCTTTGCGCTCCCTGCAGATGGTGCTGTTACATTCTCGTGCATGTTCTGTGCTCTCTGGTCTCCTTTCCCCAACCAGGACTGGATCCAGAACTGGCTTCCAGGAGATTTGCAGATTATCAGAGCTAGAAGGAGGCCAAGAAAAAACACAGTTTGAACTCCTCACTTCACATATATAAAAATTGGGGCCCAGCAGTGGGAAGGGGTTTATCAAAAATAGAAAGACAGCCAGCTTCACTGGCCAACTTCACTGGAGTCATAGATAGGAGGGCTGGTAAGGAGCATCTGTGATTACTTCCCACCCCTAAGCGCATCCCCTTAATAGCCCTCCCCTACAGGCTCATTCCTCTCCTACTCGGTGGGGGGAGTCAGGATTTAAATTTCATGGACTCTGGGTTGGCATTCCAGGTCAGGTCATTCCAGGCTGTTAATAGTTTCTTTTATATCCTTTCTGACAATTCACAGCACATTAAAATGTGTTAATATGGATTTTTTAAAAATACGAGTCTCTGAAATTCATAGTCTTTTATCTGCAAAATCCTCTACATCTTCTGACTTTTCAAACTTTTCTTTCTTCTTCTTACTGGAGCCTTCAGGTTTTCCACTGGAGGTAGAGCATTCCTTGTAGCGCTGACAAGCAGTGACTGGTTTTTCTTCCAAATGCAGCTACCTCTGGGGCCTGGAAATGCAGGAAGTGACCACTTTGATTTTCATGGCTTCTTCCCAATTTTAGTTTTTTCTTCTTCCTAAGACCTCCCAGCTTCTTGGAAGCTCATCTGCCACCTGCTGTCCTTTTTACTTCACTCCTTACAGTTCTTCAGCTCCTGGCTCACTGTTTTTCTTCTTGCTTCTGTCATTATTCTGAGTGGCCTCAGCATCCAAACAGACAACCTGGGCCTTTCAATTTTTTGAACTCCTCACTTCCAAAGATTTTTCTCCTGCGTCTCAGCATCCCACTCCTCTGTTTGTGCTTCTGACTTTGTTATTACCAAAATAACACACCACTTCCCAAATCTCGATCTCAGGCTTCCCTTTATCTGAAGCCCCCTCCTGTCATTCCAATTCTATTCTATCTAGCTCCTCCACTCCAGCATTTCCTGACTCCTCTGGTACCTTCAATCCCTTGACCTTAGCGCTTTTTCATTTTCCTTCATCATCCCTTGCATTCTCATTTCCCTCTTCCTCAGCTCAGGTTCTAAGGCTCATCATTATAACCACTCCCTCAACTCCCTTGATTCTGTCTCTCTCTGTCCTAGTTGTCTGGCAAAATCCTGGTTATAATAAATCCAACATTTCAGCTTCTGTACGTAACTTGCCAGTAAAAATCCACTATTGTACACCTGCGCTCAGATAGCCGAATCTGGCTGGAGGAAAATGCACAGCCGTGTTGACTTCTGTCACTTTAAATCTACAACCGCAAACCTGCAAGGTTTCAGCAATGCCTGACAATTCTACTGTTTTCCCTGGTTGATTCATTTGCCAGTTCTTTCAGATGATTATTTCACAATTTTCCTCTCTTCTCAAAGTCCAATACCTCTTTGCACAGTCTCCCTCTTATTGAGAAATTTTCTCTCTGAGAAAATAGGAGCAATCAGAAAACTTCATTGTGCTCCCCCAAATCTACCAACTGATCAGCACACTCTCTGCCTGCCTTTCTGTTACCACGAATGATCTGTCTCTGCTCCTAAGGCCAAACCTCCACTGAGGCCCTGGATCCTGTCCCCTCTCACCTACTTAAAGACTTTCCTCTTGCAATTATTCCTTCTCTCTCTTGCATCATCAACTTGTCCTTCTCTACTGGATCATTCTTACCAGTTTACAGATATGCTGTAATAGCTCCCATCTTAAAAAAAAAGAAGCAGCAGCAGCAAAGGAAAAGAAAAAAGAAAAAGAAAAGCTCCCTTGACCCTATAACTCCCTCCAGTTTATGCCATATATCTTTGCTCTCTTTTATAGCAAAACTCCTCAAAAGCAATGAGAATAACTTACACTGTCTCCACTTTTCCTCTCCTGGTCCAGAATGCTCATTCCTCAGGCATTTGCTACGACTACTCCTCATTTAACTCAGATTTCTGCTCAAATGGCAAATCCTCAGCACGGTCTTCCTTTACTATTGGACACAAAGATCACCTCCATTGCACTCTATTCCTTTACCCTGCTTTATTTTTTTCAGAGCACATCCATCGCAACTTGACCTCCATTACATACTTACATGTTACTAAGAATGTGGGTTCCACGAAGGCGAGACATTTGCTCACTGTTTCTGTCCAACACTTACAGCAGTGTCTGACTCCTAGTAGTTGGTTCATAAAATATTAACCAAGTGTCTCAGTTTTGGGCCTGCTATAACAAAGTCCCAGCGGACGGGCGCGATGGCTCACGCCTGTAATCCTAGCACTGGGAGGCCAAGGCTGGCAGATTGCTCAAGCTCAGGAGTTCGAAACCAGTCTGAGCAAGAGCCAGACCCTGTCTTTACTAGAAATAGAAAGAAATTAATTGGCCAACTAATATATATAGAAAAAATTAGCCAGGCATGGTGGCACATGCCTGCAGTCCCAGCTACTTGGGAGGCTGAGGCAGAAGGATTGATTGCTTGAGCTCAGGAGTTTGAGGTTGCTGTGAGGTAGGCTGATGCCTCGGCACTCACTCTAGCCTGGGCAACAAAGTGAGACTCTGTCTCAAAAAAAACACAAAAAAACAAAGAAAACAAAAAACCCCACAAAGTCCCAGAGACTGGGTGGCTTAAAAACAACAGAAATTGACCAGGCGCAGTGGCTCACACCTGTAATCCTAGCACTCTGGGAGGCCGAGGTGGGCAGATCACTCAAGGTCAGGAGTTCGAAACCTGCCTGAGCAAGAATGAGACCCTGTCTCTACTAAAAATAGGGAGAAATTAATTGGCTAACTAAAAATATATAGAAAAAATTAGCTAGGCACGGTGGCACATGCCTGTAGTACCAGCTACTTGGGAGGCTGAGGCAGGAGGATCACTTGAGCCTGGGAGTTTGAAGTTGCTGTGAGCTACGCTGATGCCACGGCACTCTAGCCGGGGCAACAGAGTGAGACTCTGTCTCAAAACAACAACAACAAAAAACAACAGCAATTTATTGTTCATAGTTCTGGACTGGACTGGAAGCCTGAGATTAGGGTGCCAACATGGTGAGATTCAGTTGAGGGCTTCTCATATGTTGCAGACTACCATCGTTTCATGGTATCCTCCCTGGGGAAAACAGTTAGAAAGGTCATTGGGGTCTCTTTTGTAAAGGCATTAATCCCACTCATGAAGCCTCCACCTTCATGACCTAATCTCTTTCCAGAGGTCTCCCTTCCTAATACCATCACATGAGGGGTTAGGATTTCAACATATGAGTTTTGGGAAGCCACAGACATTCAGTCCATAATAATGAGCCAGTGAAATTGTAAAAAAAGTTAAGAAAAGAAAAAAGGGAAAATTTGTGAGTAAATGCATTGTATATACTATTCAATTAATATAAATAGCTTTTTAAAAATATAACAGTGCATATAGGATATTTTCCCATGAAAAAAATGATGCCCTGTATTCCATTTTATATTAATAAGTTAACACATATTTATGTAGCCAGTGCTTTATTGATGGACATCTCTCTGGTGTCCATTTTTTCCCTTTTGCGAATATCTTTGTTTGTACATATGTACATACTTGAGGGAATATAATAACATAGGCTAAATGTCTGGCAGTAGAAATATTAGGTCAAAGGTCATGTTTGTCCTTCATTTTTAAGAATATTACCAATTTGCCTCCTAAAAAGGTTGTACCATTTACAAGACCATCCACAGTTCATGCAAATGCCTATGTCCTTGCCCAAACTGGGTATCATCAAGCTTTTAATTTTTGATAATCTAATATCTAAAATAAATCTGATTTATACTTATTTAATTCTGAATGAAGTGGAACATTGAAAAAATTTTTTTTTCTGCTGGAGTGTGAATAAAAGAAAAAAATATTTTGATGGATATTTACATTGCTTTTGCTGTGAACTGCTTGTTTATTTTTTATCAAACTTTTTCTTTTTCATATTGATTTATTATAATTCTTTTTTTTTTTTTCTTAGGAGAAAGAATCTTTGCTTTCTGTCCACCAGGGCTAAAGAGTACTATAGGCATCAGGGCCAAAAACTCAGCTTGCATTCCTCAAACTCCTGACCTCAAAAAAAGCTATTTTCTCTTGTCTTTGGCTCCCAAGAGTGTAAGATTATAAGTTGTGGAGTTTCATTGTGTTCTTGGGGCCCTAACAGTTTTTTTTTTTTTGAAGAAGAATCTCAACTTTTGTTGCCCCAGGGTAGAGTGAAGTTGCAGGGTGGGCGTCAGCCTAGCTCCAACAGCCAACCTCAAAAACTTTCCTGGGCTCAAAAGGCCAAATCTTTTCCTGGCCTTTCAGCTCCCGAGTAGCTGGGAATACCAGGCATGCAAAACCACCGATGCCGGTAATTTTGTAT